CCTACTCCTGGTCCCTCCCCATCCCCTTCACACTGGGAGCCCAGCCCACCAGCCTGATCCTGTGTTCCTCCTCCAGGATGAAGAGGTTCTCCTTCTCGCAGTAGAAAGTCGCAGCATCCAGGACAGCCTTCAGAGGTACTAGGCCCACTAGCTGAGAGCCCACGACTGGAATGTTCAGCTCCTGGGGAGGCGTAAGAGAGTCAGGTCCACACCTAGGGGTGCTGCAGCCTTGAGGATGCTCCTGGGGTCAGGTAGGAGGCTCCTGCCCTGTTCACCTGGATGGATTTCACCCCTACCCTACTCACAACCTAGCCAGCTGGAGGCACCTGCCCTGCTCACCTGGATGGATCCCTTCCCCCACAGCCAGCTGGAGGCACCTGCCTTATGGGCTATCAGTCATTTACTCCTTTTCAGGTGTGAAAAACCTTGTTCTCATAAGACACTTAATCAGCCACTGTGTTGGAAGTTTCAGGGTTAGGGACTCCAAGTCTGAGAACAGGCAGTGAGGGGCAGATGGGGTGTATGTCCCTGCCCACACTTATGAGAGGTGTGACCTTGAGCGAGTCTCCTCACCTCTCTGTGCCTCAGTCTCCTCACCTGCACCATGGAGCTGGCAGGGGTGTCCCACCCTGCTCACCCTCCGCAGCCAGCAGGGGCACCCTGCCCTGCTCACCTGCGCTTCTCTGCAGGTCTCCTCATAGATGGTGTGCAGCGCTGTGACCTCAAAGTCCAGGAGGTTCGTGGACACTTGAGCCAGGTTCTTCTCATCCAGGTACCAGCCAATGCCCTGAACCTTTTTCAGAAGTCCTGGCTGCCAAAGGAAAAGCCATTCCCAGCCCAGGCTAAGGAAGCTCGCCTATCCTGCCCTGCCTCCCCTGGCACCTGGCTCTGAGCCCCACTCTGCCTGTGTTCCCTCCTCCTCCCCACCACTGGTCCAGCCCAGAAGCCTGAAGAGCCAAGGGTTGTATGTGGAAGGTCCCTGGGTCTCAGGAAGGAGGGAGCTGACAGACGGTTTTGAGCTGCCCTCCAATTCCTTCACCAGGTGTCCGTCCGTCTATCTGTGTCTGATGGGGACTTCCTGTAGGAGTGACACTCAAACTAGGTGATGACTGCTGTGGTAGATTTGATGGGGGGACACCTGACAGCACCTGAAGATACCTGGGGATGCCTGGGGGTACTTGGGGGCACCAAGAGTACCTAGGAGTACATGGGTATATCTGGGAGTACTGGGGCACCTGGGACTCGGAAAGCAGCTGCTTCTCCATCAGTATGGAAATACTGCACTATTTTAACAACAGGTGCAGCCCTACTTCTGTGTAAAGTGTCTTTTGAAACAAGCTCTCCTCGACAGGGACCACTTGAAGCCCCGGCGCTGCCCTGTCCCACATGTCATGGACACTAGGTGGGGCCTGGCTGGCCACCAGCAATCAGAGGCTGAGCCAGTGGGACTCGCTGCCTCGGCCACCCTCCCTCCTGATTCACACCCAAGGCTCCCTGAGGCTGGCCTCAGCCTCTGGCCCTCCCAGGGCCGCTCTGGGGCTCGGTGGGGACGGACCTGGTCCTTCCCGCGGCCTTGCTCCCGCAGGTTGAGAGCAATGCGGTGCGCCTGTTCCTTGGTGCTGAGCAGGTTGATGTTGAAGGCAATGAGGAACTTCCGGGCCCCGGTGGCAGTGGCCCCCCAGCTGGGAACAAAGGTGGCAGGGCCAAAGTCGGGTGCCCACTCGGCCCGCTTGAGCTGTGGAGGGATTCACCTGGAGTGAGCCTCCTCCTTGGGAGGGGGCTGCCACAGATCTGGGAGGAAAGGGTGAGGCCCACCCACCCCGCAGGAGATGGGCAGGGCCCAGCACACTGCTGCCAGGGACCACCCCCCCGACCTGCCTGCCACAGGGACATCGCACCTTCTCAGGGAGGGCCTCATACTCCCCAGCCCGAATGGCTGGCAGGGTCTGGCGACTGGCCATCCGCGCTGCCTCCCCGTATAGGTACACTGCAAGGGAAACTGGTCAGGCCTGGTCAGCGGGAGGCCACATCCCCGATCCCCGAGGAGAACCAAGTCACGGCCGCTGTCTCTCACTGCCCTTACCTCCCTGGAGAGCCATCCCAGGTCTCCACCCTCTGCCCCCCACCAACGGGCGAGGGCTCCTCACTCCCCATGCCCAGCTTGGCTCCCTCTGCACAGGGGCCTGGCACAGCTTCACTCTAATCATGGGAGTTACTATCGGACAGATGGACATCCGGGAAGTGTTGCTGGAAGGATGGCCACATTTCCTTTTAAAATGTGTTTTCATTGTATGATCAATATAACCCCAGATTCAGGAACACAAAGAAAACAAAAATTCCCACCAACTCCCTCCTCCTACAGCACCGCTGTGACTATGTTTGTACGGTCTTGGTGCCCGAGCTCCCGCATCCAGATCCATGATCCACCTGGCCACCCCCCGTTACTGGATGTTCTCTTTGTTCTCATGTGTCCTGTTTGCTGGGGATCATGTTCTTGATTGGGTTAATTCCCCAAAGTGAGGTTTTCATTGTGGTTAGTGACCGTCCAGTCGGCTTTGACTCAAGGTAACATTACATATAACGGAAGGAAATGCTGCCCAGCTCTGTGCCACCTTCATGATTGTTGGCAGGTCTGAATCCATTGTTGTGGCTACTGTGTCCCTCTCATTGAGGGTTTCCCTTGTTCTTGTTGACCCTCTCCTTTACTAATAATGATGTCCTTTTCTAGCAATCACTCTTTCCTGAGAACGTGTCCAAAGTAAGCAAGACAAAGTCTCACCATCCTCTCTTCCAAGGAGCATTCTGCTTGTATTTCTTGTAATACTGTTTGCTCATTCTTCTGGCAGTCCACGTGAAGTGATTCCATTAGAAGGCACGGACTCTTAAGCTGGCTGTTTGTCTTGCTCAGTTGCCTCACAGATGTTAAGCAGCCCTCCGTGTTGTGGGCAATGCTGGACCACAAGCGCCCCCTGTGTCCCCAGCAGATGGGACATGACTCATCTGCTGTCCTTTCTGACTGCGTTTATTTCATTAGTGAAGAAGCAGCAGGGTTCCTGGGCGTCGGATTCTTCGCTGGGTCTTTGTTTAGTAATAACCTCCACTTTCAAGAAGTTGCCCAGCAATACAGTGCGTAGTTGCTGATGGGAAATGACCAGCTGTGATATGAAAAGGGGCTGGCTGAAGCCCCTGAGGGCCCTCCTGCGGACACTCACCTGGCACCTCCAGTTCCTCTGCCAGCCGCTGGCCGAAGGCCTGGGCACAGAGCACACACTCATCCATGCTGATGTCCCTGACCGGGATGAAGGGGCAGACATCCAGAGCGCCCATCCGAGGGTGCTCCCCTGCAGAGATGGGGGTAGGTGCTGAGGACAGGGGCCAGGGCAAAGGTCCAGTGTGGGAGGGGTGTCCACAAGACACCAGGGAGCACACTATGAAGCGCCTCACCTGCTCAGCTGGGCTTGCTCGGACCCTTGCTCCTCACTGGCCCACTGGCCCCACACCCCACTTCCTCATGCTGACCAGCCACTCCCAAGGGACACGAAGGCATCGCCAGTGGACGGCCGTGGACAGCCTTCCTGGCCGGGGTGAGGGGGACCGAGTAGGACCCCGGGGAGGAAGCAGGGCCTGATATTTTGGCTTCTTTGCAATAAGCCCCTCCCTCCCGCTCCTAAAAGTCGCACAAATAACTTTCCAGGGCTACTCAAGTCAACCCGTGGTGAGCCCCAGCCAAGCCCAAGCTGAAAGGGCTGGCCCTGGTGGGCTCCGGCCGCCGCAGCCCCCGCCCCACTGCTGGCAGCTGCGGGTCCACGCTGCGCTTGGGGAGGGTCTCTCTAGTGGAACCACGTCATCATCCCTCACTCTTCCCCCCACCTCAGTCATTGTCCCCCTGGCCTCCCCCCTCCTCCCTTGGCCCTTCCAGCCAGGCAACTGGCTCCTTTGTCTTCAACAAGCCTCTTATCTGCCCCCCCCCAGCTTGGGGTCATCTGTGAATCCCCTCCACGTGCGCCTCCCCCACCCCAAGACCCTGGTCTTTCAACTGGCTTCTCTGTGTCCACTGACCTTTGTCTCCACCCGCCCCTGGTGTTGACATGTTTGGATCTGAGGGTTATCTGGTGTCAGGCCGATTTCCCTGGAGCAGCCTCATCTTCTGCCCCTGACCCCGCCCCCACCCCCAGACAAGGGCCTAGCCCAGAGCCTGAGTGGGTGGGCCTCACAGTCCATCGGGGACCCCCGGCAGATGTGAGCGGTGTCACTGAGGCGCTCTCCTCTGTCCTGGGGGAGGCTGGTGGCCTCAGCAAAGGGAGGAGAGCACCGAGGAGGAACAGCCTTCCTCAGCCTAGAGTCTC